ATCTGCCAGGGCTCTGCTGCCCGGGATCTGCCAGGGCTCTGCTGCCCAGAATCAGTGCCCACACGCACAACCTCGAGCAGGTGAGAGCGGGTGCTCACGCACAGGCACACACACATCTGTCGTGCCAGTGGTCCTGCACGCTCACACGCGTGTGCCTGGGCACGTGCTGGCCCTGGCCAGAGATCAGAGCCGGGGCGTTGATGCCAACCCACCCGGGACCGAGGCCTCCAGCCCTGCCAGCCTCCATCACCACCGTGCCATCATCTCCAGCCCCACTGGTGCCCCAGCCCCGTGCCCGGACAGTGGCTTTGCACGGGGCAGGATGGGGGTCCCGAGGGTGGCTCTCACTCCTTCCCCACCCAACACCGTGTCCAGGCAGGGGCTCAGAGGGCTGTGGATCTCTCCCTTTCCCATTCCACACCATACCTGGGTACTGGGCAAGGGCTTTGCCCGGGACATGGGTGCAGTTTAGGTGGGAGCAGGAGCAGCCCAGGACACGGCTGTGCCAGGGCCAGGAAAGCTGGGAGCAGAGTGGTGGGAGCTGGGCTGTGCACCCTGTCCTGGCACCGTCTTTCTTCACACCCCAGAGAGGGGACAGGAGGTGTCTGGGGGGGGACACACGCCTGAGCAGCCTCCCCTTTGCCAGCCCAGCCCCAGGGCACAGTGCTCACCCCATGGCATGGCCTGGGACGAAGAACGTGGCTCCAGCCACAGCCAGCGTGGCTGTGTGGGGTGTGTGGGGTGTGTGGGGTGGGACGTGTGGCAGGGCAGGCCCCGCTGCCAGGCTTCCCACAGCCGGGGCGAGCGCGGGGCCAGTTGGGCAACAGGGTGGCACCCGCCTCCCGCTCCCTGTGCGGGGGCCACCCAGCTCCAGGGGGCACACGGTGGGACACTGCTGTGGCCTGTGAGCGGGGCCGTGGGACCCAGCTCGGCTCAGCCACCACAGTCCCACCCAGAGCCAAGCCACCACCAGCCTGGCTCCCCACTGCTGCCACCCACTCACCCGCTGCCCCATTGATGCCATCCCCCAAACCCACAGCACGTGCCGTGGGCCACAGGGGCTCTCCCAGGGCATCCCTGCTCCCGTCTCCCTGTGGATGGTGCAGCCCCTCGTCCCCATCCTCGTGCCCCGGGTGGGTGCCTCTGCCCGCCGTGTCCCCCCCCAGCCCCGGGGGGGGGCTGCACACGCAGGGTTTTGTGTCTCCGTGTAAACACCCCGCAAACAGTTCGGTGCGGGGCCGGGGCCCGCCCGCGCCTGCTGCCTTTGCTTCCCTGCTGCCTTTGCTCCCCGAGCCAGCGCCGTCGCCCGGGGCTCAGGATGTGGCTGACACAGGCTGCGGTGCCGGTGGTGCCGGTGGTGCCGGGCGTGTTGCCCCGGCTGGGAGTGGTGGAAGAGATTTCCATGGGCTCAGGAATGTGCGACGCAACCCCGTACCGGGGTTCCAGCCCGTGCCGGCAGCGCCGCGGGACCATCCCGGGACGTGTTGGAGGATGTGCCGCGGAGAGCCGAGGGCTCGGCCCCGTTCCGGGGGGGGGCTGTGGCAGCGCCGGGCGAGGGGCCCCGACCCGGGGTGTTCACGGGGCTCCCCCGTGCGTGACCGGGGACGTGCCCCGGCACAAACCCGCTGGCGCAATTCCAGCCTCGGCCCCTTCGGCTCTGTGTTTGTTCAGAAAAAAAGGGAGTGAGGAGAGGGTTTTAGGGTGAAACGGCAGAGAAATGGGACTGGAAGCCACGAGAGCAGGGTCAGGCGACCAAGGGGAGCGGGATAGGGAGGGGGCAGCCAGGCAGAGCCCCAGCACCGGTGGGGGATCAGGGGGAACGGCCGCAGCCCCCATTTGTGGGATCCCCAAGGTGGGGAGGTGCCAGACAAGGGCTGTGGTGCTGCAACACCTGGGGACGGTCCCTGCGCTCGAGGTGTCCCCAACTCTCAGAGCGGGGACACAGCCTGGGCCTCCAGACACCCCGTCCCATCCCCACAGGCAGCTGGGCCCATCCCAACTGTCCCCCAGCCATCCCAAATGTCCCCCAGCCATCCCAAATGTCCCCCAGCCATCCCAACTGTCCCCCAGCCATCCCAAATGTCCCCCAGCCATCCCAAATGTCCCCCAGCCATCCCAACCGGGACGGGGCAGGCGGGTGACAGGACCACGATGCCCGGGCACCACACGGACACCCCTTGGGCACCACACGGACACCCCTTGGGCACCACACAGACACCCCTGGAGCTCTCAGGGCGGTGGGGTGGGCGAAGGGCAGCCAGCACCGTGGGGGGATTGCACCACCACAGGCACCCGGGGACGAGGACCCAGCATCTCCCAGCAGTGCCCGGTGTGGGCACAGCAGGAATGCCAGCGATGCCTTCCTCGGAAAGGAGGTAACGCGGCGCGGTGCCCGCTTGGCACCCGCTGTGGTGCCCGGGGCTTTGCCAGCCGCGGCTGCGGCGCCGGGCGGCTCTGCCGGCAGCACCAACCGGGGCACACCCGGCCCTGCCCGGCCACCCCCTGTGCCACCGCGCCGGGGTGTGATGGCTTTGGGGATGGGACACCCCATGGCAGCCCCAGCCCCCGCTGCAGGGTCAGCAGACAGACGGACAGACTGCAGTGTCAACAGACAGATGGACAGACTGCAGTCCCTGCACTGACAGTGGGGTGAGTGGACAGACGGACAGACTGCAGCCCCTGCACTGACAGCAGGGTGAGTGGACAGACAGACAGACTGCAGGCCCTGCACTGACAGTGGGGTGAGTGGACAGATGGATGGACAGACTGC